TTTCATTAACATTACATGTTCTTTAACCGGAACTTCGTCACTATATACTCTATTACCTTCTACGCATTGACTGTTACTGAGATGTTTTTGTACCACTGGTGCTTTAAAAAGTTATCAATAAAAATTCACGGATCCGAGGTGCGGCGGTCGCACTCGCAAAATCGGCCCGGTCCCACACGGCCAAAAAAGCCAAAACGCGCGCGGTCGTCAATGTGTTAAAAAACTGAAAACGAATACTTCACTGCACGGTACTGTACGTATGCAGGCTCCGTTTTAACGTTCCAGGTTGATAGGCAACCATACTGACTAACGACTGCTATCAATTATTTATGAAGTTATAGTTAAACAATTGTTCAAGTTTATATTCCGTTTCGTCCTTTCGCTCCGAATAAGGGCAATCTATTTTGTAATCATGTTTATTGCCCATCTTGGGGAAAGAATCTTCTTTGAGTTCACATCTCCCTTCATCGATGAGCTCATACAGACGCTGCAGTGAGAATAGTAACAACTGCAGAATTCCACAGAATTCCTTGATGTCCCACTTTTTGAGATCGAAAACTTGCTATCTGACTTCACTCATACAGCCTCCTTTCGAACTGGGCACTCGCCTACATCGCCCTCCATTCGAGAGTGGTCTAATCTAACTATTATATTGTATTTGTGCCAAATTTGAATAAATGTTACATAAAAACTACAGAAGCTGCCACATGCCATATTTTCTCTCATTTATATTACAACAGCGTTTTCTGAGGAAGTTTTCTGCTAAAATTCCATGTTCTTACATCAGGTCATGCACCATTCGGAAGTAATTTGTTTGCTCGGCAAAATAGCAGGTTTCTTTTCGACGTTCCTTGCGAACGCATTGAATTGTAGGTCTGGGAAATAGGAGGTTCAGACGGTGAAAATCAGCCATATCAAAAACTAGCTCTAACTCTATTTTCTCCTAGAAGGAATCGATTAACGATGCAACTCACTAATTTCGATAGTCACGACCTCTTCTGAACACTCCGCTATTGGGTTTTCTGTCTGTTGTTGTGTTTCTTTTCTTATTTGGTTTTTCTGGTTGACCGCCAAGCCATAGCCGTTCTTGAACTGAAACTTTTTCTCTATTCCCATTATTTTAGACCAACTGGTATGTCACTCGTGAGCTTCTCTTCTCTATTCGATCATTTGTTTTGTATGAGTTTTCACAAAGAACTGAGTCGAGTTTGAGGCCATAAGGTGAGAGGACCGTAAAGTGTCCACTGACCGATGATAATGAGCAAAAATATAGGAAAAAATTTTCCCAAGAAAGTGATTCAGTCATACATACATTATAGACTGGATTGTTCTTAACATCTCACGTTTTTTAACGCCCTGGCTTCAAAAATTTTTAGGTGAAGATTTGACGCTGTAGTGACCATCTATCGAAATCTGGCGAAAAAACTAAATTTAAAAGAACTAAATTTTCGAATGCTTCGGAATGTTTAGAAGACGTCGTGACTGAGTAGAAGTCATATCACTGGTCGATTTCTTCTAGCGGTTCCTAGGGTAAAATAGAGTTAGAGCCAGTTGTCGGTTGCCTAATTATTCTCGACTGGACCTTCTAATTTGCAGACTTGAAATCCCAAAACGCAACGAGTAAGGAAGAAAAACACGACATTTTGTAGAGCAGAAAAATTTCTTTTGACTGGTTATGATGTAAGCAATTTAGATTTTAGCATGAAATTTTCCGTCTGAAAAATGCGACATCACTTATAGGACAATCTAATAGATAACAGAGTTCGTTGTGCATATCTGAACAGCAAACTGATTTCAGGAATGCACACGCCTGGTGTGATAACTGCATTGGTGCAATTGGCACCTCCTTTTTCGGGTATCATTACTGGATGGTCGTTCTTTGCAGTCGCATGGTTCAGCATTGGGAACAAGATTCTCACGAAGCACATTGTGCAACAAGGTAGGACTTTTAGTTTCGCCAGTGGTATCAGTAAACCTTCCTCATCAGTTGGTTTGAAAATGAGAGTTCTACTCAGCAGGGAATGCATTCAATTTCCCGGGGAACATTACGACCCAGTCAATCGATAGAGCTTCAAACGCTGATTACAAATATGGAAACTAAACTGCAAATGAACCTGCCAAGGAAGTTGTGAGCAGTCAAAGTTGGCTGGAAGTAAAGCATTACATATGACCGTGCTAGCTGCCGGGCTTTCAGAGTCGCCGTGGAGCAGTGGTAGTGCTCTCCGTCCCAGCTCATAGGTAATGATTTCTCATCCCGTTGAGGCACAAATTTCGAGGGCACTACCACAACTTCATGGCGACTCAGAAAGCCCAGCATCTAGCACTCTGGCCATATTGACTTGACTGCTCATAATTGCCTTGCCAGGGTCATTTTGCAGTTTTAGTTTCCATATTTGTAATCAGCGTTTGAAGCTCTATCGATATATCTGGGTCTCATTCAAAGTTCCATGGGAAGTTGAATGCCTTCCCTGGTTAGGGGAGTTTATATTGAATCGTGTATCTCTTCTGATATATTTTTCATCAATCGTTGTCATGAAGGTGCCGCATCGGAGTGGTCGATGGTGTTTCGTGTCTCGGCGCTTGTAGCGGCTCTTCCCGTGTTTGTGTTCACGTGGTGGGGATCAGCTGAGAGACAGGTGATTGCTATGGAGCATGACATCACAAACTCTATTCCAAGCCATTTATTCACCTTTTCATTCCTTCAGCTATGGGCAGCGCCATCGTCCAAAAATTCTGTGTACTCCTTCTCGACTGATAAAAGGTCAAGGACCACCGGTGGATCTTTTAGTCAGGTGAATGATACATCGAATTCATTAATCAAATTCTGTCCCAATATAATTATTTCTTTTTCACGTAAATTAATATGACGGAGCTCTCAACTGATAGTATGACCATTGACAGGAGGGAGCAATGAAAAAACCTTTTGGTCGCCTTACACGGGCGATATCAAACGAATCTGTCACGGGAACATGGGGCAAGATTCGAGCGCAATGTGTTCCTCGACGGCCGTTATAGGGTTGTCTGAGAAGCTGGCTGAAGTGAATCCCTCATAGTCAGGCTAGTGGTATGTATTCTAGATAATGGTGTGTACATACTGTCTCTAGGAACCGTTCACTAGTAAATCGGTTCAATAAATTAGGTAGCACCTTCAAACTGCAAGCGGACAAGTGCAGTAGGCCTCAGTGCCGACTCATATTCTAGGAAAGGGTAGTGAACAAGAGAGTCACTGAGATCGGCCGATATATAAGTCAGTGCTTTTATCATCCTAAACGTCTGACAGCTAGTGACCGATCCCGCAGGGATGAAGATTTAGTTGGTCTGGGCGAGATCCAATACATGATTCGAGCCGGAGATCGTGAGCGGTAGGAAGTGGCGGCAAATGGCACTTCTCGCACCTTCGCGTCAATGTATAATAAAAATAATTTTGACAGTATGTTAGGGGAAGTAAGCACCTATGTGGCTTGCGACCAGGACCATTTGAATTAGATAAAAAATGAGACAATTAAGTAGACGGAAGATTTCCAACACACTGAAAGAGCTTCAATTGGGATTTTGCTCCAAGCGATAAAGAGATTATCGGTGCTAGCGAACAATGGGTCTTGTACATCGAACACTAGACTACTCAATTATATGCCATGTAGTACATATGCCTTTAGTTTGTCTGATGCAGTGCTGATTTCAGCTTTCACGTGAAACATCCATGTCCTCGTTGTCAGCTCGAGACGGAGCATCAGTGCGAAAGAAGTTGTCTACCACAAGCATGTCGCGTTCAAGTAGTCTTGCGAAGAATCTCAACGATGCCAAGACATAATTTGTTGTTATTCCTAAACTGCCGCGATCCACGTCACAACGTCATTTCTTAGACGGGTTTTGTATAGTTGTAATCCCTTGGTAATCGATGTTTTTGTACAGTTGTTTTTTACGAACACGAATAAACCTCCACTATAGCTTGAACACTATTGACAAAAAAAATTTACGTGAGCTTTCGACTGGCTGAATGGTCACTTCCGCTCCTCAATTGTTTTTGAAAGATAATCAAGTGACAAACATTAATCTTCGCAAGAATGGGACGTTAGCATAACTGTTCGCCTCAGCCTACACTAGAACCCCAAATCCAAATTTTTGAACAGTATTACTACGCCCTGCACCACTGCCGGCATTTGTCGCCATAACCCAGCTTTCAGGTAGGTGTGAGACTCTGTGTTTGCTGTTGCTAATGCATAATCGCGACAGCAAACGCGGTGATGGCACCTGCTTAGACGTTATATTTGGCAGTGCAGTACCTTGACTTCAACTTTAAGGTTATTAGGTTTCCGCATAAAGATTCCAATATATCCACTAACAATAAGGCTGTAGAATTATACAGAAACACTTAGAATAGCTAATATTTGTTCCACATTAGACTTTTTTAGGGATAAACTTAGCAATCAACTTGATTAGCAATGGGTATTCTTCAGAGATCATAATAGCCATTTTGGTTAAATGCGTTCACAGGAATAAGCATGTAGCTTGTAAGTTTTCTTATAAGTTACCATTAAAGGAATCTTGCGCGGAAAAATCATGATTCTATTTCAGCCATAAATCACTGGCTTGAGACTCATTATCCACGATAATAGTGAAAAGAACTGAAGTATTGCTTTCGTTTTGATTAGAAATTCGAAAACTCGAAAAGGCTGCTACGCGTTCGAATTGCCCACGGACGTCTTTCACGAATGCTGGCGACGGGGATGCTCAAACTTGGTTCTTGGAGTGCATTCACTAGAAGCTCTTTCTGGCCTTCTGCTTCGTTGCATTCACATCTTACACTTCTACTCCATCCTATTCCATCGATCGATTTGTCTCCACTCTCCGAAATCGCGCGCTTTAACCCGATTCTCTCATTGCGTCGCCTGGTACGTAGCCGGCCAAACGCCGTCTTCTTTCCATGCCTCGCCTGGCTCTGCCTCCTGGTCCTTCGATGGTCCATAACGTGTAGTTTTTGTACGTTTGTTTCTCTTCAGAAACCGAATCTTCATGCGTGAAACTTTGTGTGCTATTTCCAGTGATCACAACTGACATATTCATGTTAGGAAAGAGTGCAAGAATTTTCCGCGCAAGATTCCTTTAATACCTTCATAACTTCCATAACTTGTACACAACCAGTTTAGCTCCGCACGCATCCGCGCGCATCATATGGTGGGCTTCAGTGAAACTGGACAACCTGTAGAATGTTAGGTCACATGGCTGAGAAATATTATTGAGCTGCTTTGAAAAATGCTCCTGATAAAATGCAAAGGCTGTAAATTTCCGCCTAAAGCCATCGGCAATTCGCTATTGGCCCTGGTCCAGATAGCTTGAGCGTTTCAACTTTCTTTGCACCATTTGCACCATTTGGTGAAAGGATAGAAATGAAGCATATTCACGTGCTAAGAACCTGGCTTAGCCTTGCCGCTATGATCGCTTGGCAGTGTTAATTGCAACAAAGTTGTAGTGTTTGCATTCAGACGCCCCTTATCATTCCTTGTCATTTGTTACCGTTCATACCGATAGCACCGTTGTCCCCGTCCAACCCCCTATGAAACATGTAGAAGCGAAGGTTTTACTGTCACCACGAAGACTACAACGAATTTGATAGTACTCAAATTCCTACTTCCTTATCAACCGTTATCGCTTGTTATCACTTTTGATCACTCACTATCCGTGTTCCCGTCCCATCCCCTATACCACATGTAAGAGCCAAGGTTCTAATGTCACTGCGAAGGCCGCAACGAAACTGGTGGTATCCACACTCTGACGCCCCTTATCAGTTCTTATCACTTGCCACCACTTTCTTTCACCCACCTCATGGTCCCCGCCTCATCCCACATAATATGAATGGGTTCAAACATGTTACTGCCAATGCGAGGAGAGCAACAAAACTGGTGGCCTTTGCATTCCGGCGCACGTTGTCATCTCTTATCACTTGCTATCACCATTCTTCGCTCTCTATTCGGGTCCCCGTCACACAGCACATTACACTTATGAGTGGAAACTCTCCACTGTCAACGCGAACGGCGTAGCGAAATTGGTGACATCAACATTTCGACGTCCGTTATCAGCTCCTATCAGTAGTTATCACTTCCCGCCACCCCCATCAGTGTTCGTGTCCAGCCCCCTATATATCCTAGAAGTTTGAGCGCTCTGGGTCCAAAGGGGGTGAAGTTATGAATTTCCGGTCAGACACACACACAACCGCTTAGCCGATTATATATAGTAGGATATTTAGATACTATGTGGTTAGGTCGATAATCTAGCTAACTACTTCGACACTTTGTTGTTCCATTACATTACCATTAATTTATTTTTTCTGCCAACAATCCTTGCCTTGCTGTAATCTCGATTAGTAACACATACTGGGACTGTTTTTAAGGTCGTCGATGCATGCTCTTTATTTCATCTGGCCTAGAATTCACTCATTTCTTGCTCTTTATTATTCTACTCTTATCTTTTGTTCTACTCAGACTAGTTACCCACTAATAAAAGATCGGCACTAAATCACTGAAGAGCCTCAAATGCCAATCACTCTATGGTTCGTATGATTTGAAAGGTGGAACGAGCCTGCTTGTTTGTGTCATATAATTTTATTCTATTACAATTTCGTTTGTCTTTATTAGTTATATAGGGGCTCCTACCACTGCACTACCGTATGGCCGCTTCAAATGTTGTTACGATTTACATATTAGCGGTGGGTCAGTAAACATGAACGAATAATAACCTATCGTAGCACCAACAGCTCATAAAACTGAAAGACAAAAAAGAAAATAAGTTGAAAACCGAAGGTGTGGTTACGAAAGGGAAAGGTGGAAGTGATGAGTCTAGATGTGGGGAGCAAAGGCTCGCCGACACTACAGGTCACAGTGATGTAAAGTTCTCCAGGTACCAAATTAGTAGGCCCGTCCACTCCAACAGTATACTCATCCCGAAATTTACAAGTAAAGAATGTTGAGTCATCATGGCCACTAAATAAGCGATGCGCCTACACCTAGATGTCATCTCAGAACGCTGATCTCGAATCTACCTTCCAAATGTGCAAAACGACTCTCTGAACGAAGATATAAAGTGTCGATGGTTCAGTTTGTAGGCGACACTTCTTGATGTTCCCAATAATATTCAGTATATACAAGTAGATATTGAAGAATGGTGCGAAAGAGGCGAACTGACATTATGGAGTTCCGCCCTATCTACATACGGTGAGTAATGGGCGGAGAAAGCTACATCATAATAGTTCCAACAAATTTTATTAAGTTAAACGGCATACATTCGACTCTGCTTCAAGTTACAGTTATACTTACATATAAATGCATAGAAACATGGGAGAGCCAGCAATGTCGAACCATCCTATCCACACTCTTTTCCAGTCTAGCAACAATTAAAATGCTGAAGGGGCTGAGATGTCGTCGCGGTGATGTGCAATGAGATAGTTGCAACAGCTCATGTAGATAGTTTGAAAGGCTAGTCGCGAGTCACATTTTGATGCGTATTTCGTTTTGTTTTTTCTGAAAGGAATATCTTGTCAACGACATAAGCGCATTGATACGGACGCAGCACTCTTTACCAATAATCATGCCTGTTGCAATTCAAACCGTCCCCTCTGCTACCATTGAGCGGTCGCGTTTATACTGGTCTGCTGCATATTTCTACTTTGACTCAAAATTATTGTAATCATCAACAAAGGCTGCATGGCGTTGCATTCTTTATACAGGGGGGGGCCAAAAAAAAGACATTTTGCCTCCACTTCCAGATGGATTTAAGCACATTTTACTCAACTCAGACCGAACGGTTCCAACTTATTATTAAAGAGTGCATTCCATTCTATAAGAAAATCTTCATAGTGGCCACGTACGTGGACGGCATCAGAAGAATTTGCCCTGGAAACATGGTGCACTGGTCGATCTCAATGGGGTCTTCGAAGGATCGTGTACCATAACGACCCTTACTGGAAAGCTAGTTCCGAGGGGATTTGCACAGTGGTAGCTAATGCCTCTAGAAAACTATCCAACATTAAATCGATTCACGAAATTGCGTAAGAGCTTCAGGCTGAAGCTCTTACGGTAGACCTCCTTGAGCCTGACGACGGTGACAGATGACGTCATATTCTGAAGACGGTGAGGGCAGTGAAGGAGAGCCTGCGTACACTAATAGAGGAACACTTAGGGAATACTCTGCTGAGGAACTCCCGTCAACGACAGAAATCTTTGCGAAGAAAAAAGAGCCGAAGTCCGACATAGGCAAAATGTCTTTTTTTGGCCCCCCCTGTAGTTTTGCACTATGTCTTGTTGA